GAATTCAGACTTCGAACCTCCTGAACTATGGGAAAAGGAGTCCTAGTGACACGACTGTTGAGTACATGGGTCCTGTAAAGATGACAGCCTATGAAGCCTTGTGGGGTTGTTCTAATCTGTCCTATAGAGCCACTATGAGTCAAAATCAACTCAACAGCACACCACAACAACAAAAATGTGAGAAAATGAATTTCTATTATATAAATGAATTTCTGTTATAGCACTAACCAATTAAGACAATCTGAGATGTATTCAGCTAACCAACCTTGACATTTCTTAGTTTTGTAGATGTCACAAGTGCTTTCACAGTGCTTCATTTGATTCCCTGAATAATTCCATGATGCTGTCATACCCAATTTATAGAAAGAGAAATCAAGAGGCTTCAAGACATTTTAAGAGTCAAGGCATTTGTCCTGCAACTCGCATGGCAGAGCTAGAAAAAGGAGAAGGGCCTTCCAGCTGCTGGTCAAGTACTTGTCCCTCATACCTTGTTGCCTCCAAGTCTGAAGCCAAAAGAAGATGTGGTTATCTGTATGAAGAAACTGGTTTGAGTTTGCCAAAGAGTGTTGGTAGTATTTCTTGATCTACCTTTATTTGACTTATGGTTACTTTTGGGTATAAGTGTATACAAAAGAAAACCAAACACACTGCTATCAAGTCGATTCTAACTCATAGCAACTGCCACTGAGTTTCCAGGCCTGTAAATCTTTATAAGAGTAGATTGCCCCATCTTCCTCCTGCAGAGTAGCTGGTGGGTTTGAAGTTCTGACCTTCTGATTAGCAGCCAGATGTCTTATCCACTACACTACCAGAGCTCCTTTATAAGTATATAGCTCCATTAAAAACAAATAAAAACACATTTTAAATGATAAATTATAGACCTATCCTGTCCCACATGGTGGCTACTAGCCACATGTGACTATTTAAATATAAATTGACAAAAATAAAATTTAAAATTCAGTTATTCTTTTGCACTAACTACATTTCAAGGGTTCAATAGTCACATGTGGCTAGTGGCTAGGACAGTGCTAGAACATTTCCATCATCAAAGATAGTTCACAGTGTTCTTATAGAGTGATGTCTCCAGAGAAAGCAGACATTAGAAAAAGTGGAAAACAACTTGAGGCTGAAACAGTGCTGACATCTGTCCAAAATAAAAGGTTGTTTAGGACTGAAAATAAAAAAGAGAATGAAGAGGAGAAATAAAGAGAGATGCTCATAGCCCTGGGTGAATCCAGCTAGAATAAGGCAAAGGTATTCTTACAGTGGCATGTTGCATTTGTTCTTGAATGCTTTAAGGAATTAGAATAAAACAACACACAAAGAATCTGAACCGCTGGAAAGGAAAGGAAGATGGAAATGGAGAGGACCCCAATAGTTTGCAAACTAAATTTTGCATTTAGAAGTTATTTTTTTCTTTTTTTCTATATTTTTTGTTGTTATGTGCCATCCAGTCGAATCCAACTCATAGCGACCCCTCCTTGGGTTTCCAAGGCGGTATCACTACGGAAATAAATTGCCCAACCATCCTTCCAAAGAGTGGCTGGTGGGTTTGAACTGCCAGCCTTCTAGTTAGTAGTCAAGTACCTTAGGCACTACGCCACCAGCAGTGTTATTATAAAAGGAAATTTTATAAAATTTAAAATCATTTCTAGGGATTTTTTAGATAAATTCACATAAGCCATACTAAAACAGGTGAAAAAGTTTCCTCTCATTTTTTCATTAACTCATTCAATTGAATATAAGTAAAGCCTGCAAAAGCCAAAACCTGTGTAAGGTGTAAAACTGTCAGAGAAGGAGATCTCAAAGATTTTCCACTAAAATAAGCTGCAGAAAAGTGGTGAGCCTGCATCCTGTCAAAGGCAGAAAACTTGCGAGAGCTGGAAACCCAGGCAGTCATGTTACGTTCCGGTTTTCACAGGTTTCACTGTAATAACCCAAGAGTCCACAGTGATGTTCAAAAGAGGGAAAGGGAACCAAACAACACTGAAACTATCTGCCACTAGGGGAGCTGGCTATGTCACCAAATCTTTACACTGAACATTAGTCATTAAAAGAGAGAATTAAAACCAGGAAATATATTTCAAGGTAACCAAATAGCCCCTGTTGCATGGGAAAGCTCTCTTTAAGAACAGTGTCAGCTAAAACATGTAGATGAATTAGAGAACGAGAAAATCATCACTTTGAAACCTCTAACAAAATAATGTTCTCAGGATAACCAAATAATCAGCAAGACTAACTAAAAACCAAAACACCAAACTCACTGCCATCGAGTCAGATCCAACTCATAGCTATCCCTCCAAGGTGATATCACTATGGAAGTAGATTGTCAATCTTCCTTCCAAGGAGTGGCTGGTGGGTTTGAACCACCAACCTTCTGGCTGGCAGTCAAATGCCTTAGGCACTACACCACCAGAGCTGCTTAAAGATTGATAAGGAAAGGAATATTAAAAGGAATGGAATATTTACATAGCACCAAGATTACCCTACAGACTTCTGGCTAGTCCCAAGGGGAAAATAATGGATGATTCAGACAGTTAGTTACCTTACCCCTGTGAACATCCCAGAGTTACGAACACTGACAGGGTGGCGGGGACAACCAGACATTATATTTCCTACATGATGTTAGGAGCCTTGGTAGCAACGGTTAAGTGCTCAGATGCTAACTGAAAGGTAGGAGGTTCAAACCCACTAGGCACTCCACAAGAGAGACCGGGCAATCTGCTTTTGTAGAGAATACAGCCTTAGAAACCCTATGAGGCAGTTCTACTCTGTCTCATAAGGGCATCATGAGTCAAAATTGACTCCACGGCAATAGGTTTATCTCCTAAAAACAACTCCACTCTGAAAGTTAATAAAACAGATTTGTCAGAGAAGACCCACCCAAGTGAGAGACTGAAGCATCTTTATGATAAAGTGTGCCAAGAAGCAATACATCTCAGTCAGGATTGGTCCATGCCGACACAACTGCAGCTCCACAAACATCCTGACCCACTGCAAACACTGAACAGGCTATGCTTCTCTCACTCCCTAGAAAAGTTGGCCCAGAAAGGGGTATGAAAGCTGCCTAGCTCTCCCAAAGCTCGTTATTCTCCATCACTCCACTGGAACAGCTTTGTCAAACAAGAGTAAAAGACTATTTGTCAGCCTCACTCTGACTCCCTGATTCAAGCCAACTCCCATCAATCCTAAGGGAAGAACCAGCAAGAAATCCAAGTCCTATATCCCCACACCTTTCCCTGTTGGGCTAGGAAACCCAATTGGCCTCCCCCAGCCCTGCTTCTACCAAATGCTTTGGTTATTTAAATACATATATATTCTTTCCTCATCCCTGAAGCACTATGAAGGAATTATAGTGGACACAAATCTTATTGGTCACTTATTAAAAAATAAGAATATACAAAGGAGAGAGTTAGGAAGGAAGAAGAGGCCAAGTACCAGATAATGATTTGGTTTCACTTTTAAAGATGCTCCCACTCATTCAAACATCTGCAAAAGAGATTTTACTTAAAGAGAGGTTTGATGTATGTGGGTCTGACTATATCGTTGTTGGTAGTGCCATCGAGTTGATTCTGACTCATAACAACCCTACAGAACAGAGGACAGAGTAGAACTGCCCAATAGGGTTTTGCAGGCTGTAATCTTTAGGGAAACAGACTGTCAATCTTTCTCCCATGGAGTAGTTGGTGGGTTTGAACCACTGACCTTACGGTTAGCAGCCAAGCGTTAACCTTGGGGCCACCAGGGCTCCTTCTGACTGCATTAACAAGGCTGAAATTACTGCATCTGCTTATCACAGGCAATTCAGAGACCTCTGAAAGTAGGTCCCCGGGGTGTTGCAGAATTTGGGCATAAGTGATCAGGGTGTGGAGACACGCCCAAAGGCCTTTCTGGTTGAAGGGTAAAGAGAAAGAAGGGAAAACATCCAAGGTCTCAGAACTCAGATTGTAAAAGAAGATTGCAGAAGCCGAGGAAGACAGGAGCAGAAATAAGGATGCCCTGTGAAAGGGAAGAGGCATGAAATACTGTCCGGTGGCAAGAGGCGTCAGAGAGAAGCCGAGAACTGCTGCTGAGAGAAGCCACACTGCCAACCTCATTTCAGACCATTTACAAACACGCCTCTCTGCCCCCAGGAGCGAGGCTATTTTATATAGCAGCACACTAATCAAACCCACCAGCCACTCCTCAGAAGGAAGGTTGGGCAATCCTACTTCCGTAGTGATACTGCCTCGGAAACCCAAGGAGGGGTCGCTATGAGTCGGGGCCGACTCGACGGCACATAACAACAACAACAACAACAACAATCAAACCCCATCCCACCCTACTCAAATTAATCATTAAATAATTCCACTGGGTTAAGGAGACAAAGGTATTAAAAAAAAAAAAAAAAAAAAACCCTCCAGGATCTACAATCGCCAAATATGTCAGCGACCAACACGTGTGTTGTGTGTCTGTGTGCTTGTCTGTGTGTGCGTGTGTGTGCTTTCTGAGATAGTCCTACTGTTAAATTTGGCAGAGCCAAGATTTAGGGAAAAAGAAGATGATTGCAAAATAGGGCACTAAAAGATGATGTGGAGCGTACAAAAGAAATCCTCCATATGGGGAGGGTGGGGAGTGAAAGTGGTTGCCAACAAACATTTAAAACTAGGGGCTGCCTAGGAATGAAAAGGGATGGAGTGAAAAGTTGGAAAAGAAAAACAAGCAGGTGGGAAAGATGAGGATAGTTCAGAGAGATTGAAGGTTCCCAATGCCTGGCGGGACTCAGAGAAGGATGGAGAGAGACCCCCAGAGATTCTTGGGGCGGTGGGCGCTGCTAGAACTCAGGCCTCTGGGATGCACCAGAAAGAGAGGCTGCTGAGAGTGGCAGTACTGGTATTCGGGAGAGAGGGAACCCGCGAGTGGCAGCGCTGGAGGGGGGCTTCTCCAACAGGACAGGAGGGGGCCCTAGAAAGGAGAAGGTGACGGCGGCGCGGTGGGCGCAGGGGCTCACAGACACTCACCCCGTTGGCCGCGGCCATCTGCACCACGATCTCCGTGGCGGTGCGGCTGAAGTACCTGCCGTCGCTGCCCACCACCATGGTGCAGCCCTGGCGGTCGCGCAGGTCGATGGACGACAACACGCTCTGGATGAAGTTAGGCAGGTAATTGCGCTGGGCCTCGAAGAGCCCGGTGGGCCGCCGCAGCCCCCCGCCGCCCGCCGGCCGCTGGTCCTCGTAGGGTGCTGTGGGCACTGTCAGCACCGGGATGGGGGTCCCCTCCATGGCGCCTCCAAGCCCGGGCTTCCGCGGCTCCGCGACAGAACGACTGTGCAGGCTCCGGGCCCCGCTGGCTGGCCGCGCGCCCAACTCCGCCTCGCGGCTCCCGGAGCAGCCGCCCTCACCCTGAGCCCTCGCCCTGCGCCCTCCCGCGGCGACAGCGACCCTCCTCTCCACCCGCAAAACTCCGCCCTGCGGGGGCCTCCGAGCACCCGCGCGCTGCGCCCTCCCGCGGAGACAGAGACTCTCCCTCCTAGCGTCCTCACTGCCGGCGAAGCCCGACGCCGCCGTGAGCCAAAACAGCGCTCTTCAGCCCAACTTCCTCTCCCTACAGGTCGCTTCAGGCGTCCTCAGTTTTCTTCCAGATGGACTCACTTTTGGGGAATCCCAAAAGCTGCCTAATGCCAGCCACCTCCTCCCCGCTCCTGGCCCAAGCCTTCTCTGGCGCTCTCTTCCCTTCGAGGAGCACTCTCCGCTAGAGAACAGTGGTGAGAGTTTGAGGAGAGTGCGGGATCCTTCCAGCACCCACAGCCCTTGTCCCCTCCCGCGGAAGCCTCTCTCCCCTGCGCCCTAGGAGTGAGCAGTTTGCACGCACAAGTTTCTCTTTTCAACCAGGACAAGGAGAGAGGGGGCGGAAACCTTTTGCCATCAGAGAACAGCCCTGGCCAAAAATAACCCTGGAAAGGCGAGCTGGGAATTGTTATCTTCTGCCAGCGCTGAAATTGGAGGCCAGAGCTGCGTGTGTGTCTGTGTGTGCACACGCCCTGCGCTACCATTTGTTGCTGAGAATCACTGACTGTCAGGCCCTGCGGTCCAGGGGGACCCACCCGGGTCACCGTCGCTTCCCTAGCCTGCTCAGGGAGACACGCTTTGCAATATGGAGGAAAAAAAAAAAAGGTTTTTGTTTTGCTTGCTTATTTAATTGTTAATGATGGTTGCAACAGCAGCAATGCAATCAAATATTACCTTATTCTGCTTGCCCCTCTCACCCTCCTAGCCCAGCTCCTGCTTAGACACAGATTTGTTCCACATTGTACTTGTCCACACTGCTGAACTTTTACCCTAGATTAATCAATTTCAATAGGAGGATCCTAAAGTCCTTTTTAAGAATCCTTGGTGGAGAAATGGCTGCTATGTGCTAATAAAAAAGTTGATGGTTGGAACATCATGCCCAGCACTTAGAGGGAGAAAGACCTGGTAAATTGCTTCTGTAGAGATTATAGCCTAGAAAAGAAACCCTATAGAGTAGTTCTACTCTGTCACACAGGGTCGCTATGACTTGGAATCATGGCATCTAATAGCAACAAACGGTGGCTGCGATGATGGACTCAAGTATAGCAGGGATTGTGGGGCTGGCGCGGGATCAGGCAGTGTTTCGTTTTGCTGTGCATGGGGTCGCTATGAGTCGGAAACAACTCGACGGCACTTAACAACAACAACAACAATAGCAACAAAATCTTTTCCAATGTTCTACTAAAAAAAAAAACTCACTACCATTGAGTTGATTGCAAATCATAGCGACCCCCACTGGGTTTCCCAGGCAGTAAATCTTTAGGGAAGTCGATTGCTCCCTCTTCCTTCTGCAGATGGGCTGGTGGGTTTGAAATGCCAACCCTCTAACCAGCCTTAGGCACTACACCGCCACCAGAGCTCCTTAATGTTCTTTCCACTAGGATGGAATAAACAAGCCCAAAGTAAACAAAGGCTGAGAACCCCGAGCTGGGCTAGGACTTCTGCATGTGTCCTCTCCTTTTGCAGATTTTCTGCCCTCACTTAACCAAAACTAGCCAACCCACCAACCAGTTGCCATTCAGTCAATTCTAAGGCATAGGGACCCCATGTGCATTGGAGTAGAGCTGTGCTCCATAGGGTTTTCAGTGGCTGAGCTTTCAGAAGTAAAAAGCCAGGGCTTCCTTCCGAAACACCTCAGGGTGAACCCAAACCGCCAACCTTTTGGTTGGTAGCCAAGGGTGCTAACCATTTGCACCACCCAAAACGAAAACCAAACCCACTGCTATGAAGTCAGCTCCAACTATGTGCTACAGAATAGAACAGCTCCATAGTTTTCTTGGCTGTAGTATTTATGAAAACAGTTCACCAGGCCTTTCTTCCACAGAGTAGCTGGGTGGGTTCAGATCACCAACCCTTAGTCAGCAGTTGATTGCAAAACCACTTGCGTCACCCAGATTCCTTTGACACCACCCAGAGGCTTCTTAAAATCCACTTCAAATCCAAGTCTAAGAACTAGCCCATAGCATTGAGTTGATGTGAATGGTGGTGGAATAATTCAGAAAAGGATAGTGCTAATGGTTACACAATATGATGAATATAATCAAAGTCACTGAATTATACATGTAGAAATTGTTGACTTGGTGAAGGTTTGGTTGTGTTATTTTCATTCAGTGCAGTGAATTACTTGGTATGGCTTTTCTAGCCATAGTCTTTGTAATTCCTACCAAACTACTGGGTGAAACCATTCAAATAAGGTGTGTAGAACTCTGTTAGGACTGGTTAGTTTTATCACTCTGTTGTTGTTGTTGTTGTTGTTATTTGCCGTCAAGTCGGCCCCGACTCATAGCGACCCCTCCTTGGGTTTCCGAGGCAGTATCACTACGGAAATAGGATTGCCCAACCTTCCTTCTGAGGAGTGGCTGGTGGGTTTGAACCGCCAGCCTTCTGGTTAGCAGTCAAGTGCTTTAGCTACTATGCTACCAGACCTCCTTTTGTCACTCTACCAGGCTTAAAATGAGTCCTCCTAGAGGCAGAGGGGGGAATTTCACTGCCATCAAGAGAGAAGAGCTGGAGGTGAAGTGGAACATGTCCTTGGACCTGAAATCCTTGCACTGGACCTCCTTGGCTGAGAGACTCCCTGTCAGAGAAACACCAGCAGTGAAACCAAGAGGCAGGAGACAGAGTGGTTGGCCTTCCGGCCCACAGCGAGAAAGCTGAGTGCTCCTGGGCAGGAGGCTTGCTGATGCAGTGGGGTATACCGTACCTATCAGCAGGGTTAAAAGAGTTTTGTAACATTTGCCCAAGCAGCGTAGAGGCCAAGCCAAGAGGCCAAGGGCCAGAGAGGCAAGCCTGAGAGCATAGCAGAGGGGAGAACGTCCTGATAGAAATATCATATCCTGAGCAAGTTCCTGAACCTGAATTGTAGCCTGTTACCTCCCTAATAAACCCCATTTATTGAGTATTGTCTGTGAGTTCTGTGCGGTCCTTGCAACGAATTATCGAACCCAGCAGAGAAGTAGTGAGTGCCATGGGAGGGATGGGTGGTGTCAGAATTGGTAAAAGGCTGGAGGATGTCAGTATGTCTGGCCTCACAAGAATAAGCTTTGGGCTGCTGATGGTGATTTTGTCTTTCTCTTGTGAAGTTAGAGGAGGTCAGAAGATGCCACCTCCATGCACTTTTTGCAACCACAATTAAAGAAAAAAAAAAAAGGAGTGGAGAGAGAACACACCAACAGGATTAAACCCCAAAGAGAGAAGAAACAGTCTATAACTAAATAAATATATAACTAAACATAAATAAATCTAAACACTTTATAAATCTGCAGAAAGTCAGTTTTAGCCCCAGGACGTGGACACTGAGGGAGGAGAAGAAGCAGATTTCAGCACAGTGACCTTACTGGGTGCAAAGATGCTTTGAGGGTAAAAGGCAACAGAAGCAAGAATATGGATTGTACATGGCTTTGCAATTGATAAAGGGGTTTGCATCTATTGTCTCTTTGGAGGCTCAAAACAACTGGAAAAAAAAAGTAAGAGTGTTATTCATATCTTCCCCCATTTTATAGATGAGGAAATGGTGGCTTTCTTGAGGTCAAGGAAGTGACCAAGATGGCACATGCAATCAGTCCCACTTCTTATAATGCCCTCACATTTTTTATTAACATCATTGAAGTGCAATTGGGCAACCAAGCCTGCTGGGAGTTTTAGCCATTTTCTTAAATAGTAAAGAACGTTCTTTCACCTCTGTCTTCTCCTTGGCTCCCAGGAGCCAGTTCTTTGTTGAAGTTTCTGATTTTATTGTATGGTTGAGAGTCTTAGCTGAGCACCAAATAATCAGAACCTCAACACATTAAAGGATCCATCCCCATCTCTACAGTGTGGGCTCTTTAAAATCACTTTCTAATGACATTTCATTTTGCAAAGGACAGTAACATTCCCCCAAGAAGACTGTGTGTTAAGACATTTGCTCCTAGTGTCTTTGATACCTTCTATCACCATAGCAAAAAAAAGTACCACAAGGTATTACAGCCACCAGTCTTTAAATAACAGAAATTTATTTCTCACAGTATGGAAGGCTAGGAATGAGGATTCAGGCAGCAGCAGGGTGAGGCTTTCTCTGTGTCTGCCCTAGAGGAAGACCCTTGCTTGAGCATATTGTCTCAAGCAGGATCAATTGGAGAATTTGGAATTAGATTCAAGGGAAAAGTCTGATGTCATTTCTGTAGCCCCAGGCAGTTGTTGGCATTCTTTGACTTGTACAAAAACCTCACATCCTGTCTGCCCTACCTCATGTGTCCGTGCCTACTCTGCTCTTTTTATGAGACACTAGCACTCAGACATGAACCACCAGAAGAACAAACAAATCTGTCTTGGAAGTAGTTCAGTAGTTCAGCCAGAATTCTTCTTAGAAGCGAGGATGGCAAGACTTCATCTCGTGTACTTTGGACATGTTGTCAGGAAGGACCAGTCCCTGGAGAAGAGGACATCATGCCTGGTAAAGTAGAGGGTCAATGAAAAAGAGGAAGGCCCTCAGGGAGATGGACTGGCACAGGGCTGCAACAGTGGGTTCAAACGTAGTCTCAAACATAGCAGTGATTGTGAGGACAGCGCGGGAGCAGGCAGCGAAGGCTTCGTTCCGTTGTACAGAACATAGTTGTGAGTCAGAACTGACTTGATGGCACCTAACAACAATGACAACTCAGAAGTGATAGGTTTAGGACCCACCCTACTCTAGTATGACCTCTTTAACATAATATTATGGATTGAGTTGTGTTCCACTAAAATATGAGTTGGAACCCTAACCTCTAGGACTCCATTTGGGAACAGGGCTGTTTTGTCATGTTGTTAACGGGGCCATAGGACAGGGTGCCTTAGACCTCAGCATTTTGAGACATAAAAAGGTCAGATTAGATACAGAGAGAAGCAGGCACAGATGGAAGACAGAT